GTGTCTTCGGACGTGTTTGCCTGTGTGTATTAGCTTAGGACTTTCGTCTGGAATGGTTATGCATGTGCGAGATGTATATCGTGGGTCCCTAGGACCCGTCCTCACTGAGTATTGTTGGAATACTCATCCCTCTTTCCTCTGCAGGTGAGCGCGTAGACATTCAGGAGTAGTCTTATGGCTCGGTGATGGTTTTGGGAAGATGCGGGTTTTATTTTATTATTCGTTATTTATTTTTAAAACGATTATTTGAATTTGGATTTATTGGTTAAGTTAAAGTGGTCTTGTAAGACTGATAAACACTTTGTTTGCAAGGGTGAGAATGCAATGAGGTTATCAAACTCAAATGCAAGACAGGTTGTAGTACAGCATGCAAGAGAGAGTCAATTCACACCTAGGATGATAGAAAATGCAAAGAGAATGCAAGGACTATGTAAATCTAAGCGAAACAAGATGAGTTTTGAGAAAATCCCTAAAAACTAGATGCAGCAACTAAATGGAATGAAAACTATTTTAAAATTACCAGGAATGATCAAACTACCATGAGGAATAAACAGAATAATTAAAGGACAAAGCTTCAAATTACTAAAATTCGACTAGTGGATCGACCATAAGATCGACCACTAGATCGAGCAATAACAATCGATCTCGTCTAAAAATGCAAGAACAGTAAAACTAACGACCAGGATGCTATCAAAGATCAAGCGAATGACGAGAGAAGATGTAAAGATGCTAAAAGAGAGGGCCTAGGGTTGAGATTCATGGTCAAGGGTTTCAAAGGTTCGACCTTGGGTTGAAAACTTTAAATCGACTCACTTTGTGAGGATCTCTAAGCCTTGAAAACTAAGCAAGATCTATCCGTGGCTTTCGGTATAGATCACTCCTTCATCCTCTCCTCCAAACCCATGGCTTTTGGTGAAAAGAGAGGTCGAAGGGCATGGAAAACAGATTTCAACGAGTGGCTTAACTAGTCCCCCAAACTTCCATGGCTTTTGGGAAGGGGTAACTAGTCTCTAGGGTGTGATCTTCAGAGGTCCCTGAATCCTGTCAAGGTAAGGAACCTCTCGAATCATGAAGCTCTTGGCGTGAGAGTCTTCAAGCTTTGAGAACTCAACACCCTAGAAGAGATAGCCATTAAAACGCTTAGAAAACCCCAAGATCGAAACCCTTTAGACCCCTTAATCCTCTCAACCCCGAACCCAAATGAACTACTCACTACACATAAGATAAATCAAGCAAAGCATGGAAAAGGAAACGATGAACATGAAAAGAAAACTAGATTAAGCTGAAAACGATTCAATTACAAAGCTAAAAAAAACTCAAAGTTCGACAATGGTGTTCTTCTACAAAACCAGAGAGAAAAACATAAAAAAGATAAGGATGAAAAATTGTGTAGGAAAAGGACGTTGCCGCCTTCCCAAAATGGCCAAAACAAGCTGATGGTCCCCTCCTCGCTAGCGGCCAAAAGTGGTTGAAAGGACAGAGATCGACTCCGGGATCGAGCGGTTCTCTCGATCATCTCCGAACATCGTGTCTTCAGCTCAATCTGGGTTTCGATCATCTTCGGCGGATCGAGCGTTGCATCCGATCTCGGTATCGATCTTCGGTTGGATCGAGTGGTATACTCGATCTGGCTCTCGCTCTGCATGGCATCATTTACGTCCGTACCGTTTGATCGACTGCTTCACTCGATCCTCGTCTCGATCATTCTCCTTGGATCACCCGGTCTTCTCGATCTTCTGGTCGATCACATCCTAGATCGACCTGCCATGCTCGATCTGTTCCTCGATCTCTGATCCTTAGTAAATATTCGAGCTTCCACGAGCCGCTGCAACAGCTTCAGCACGTCCACGAACCTCCACGACTCCAAAGCAACCAGAAACAACCTGAATGTGATGCAAAATGCAAAGAAAATGCGTATGCTGGTACAATAATGCTCTAGGACTCTAAGTGATGCAATCTAACCTAAAACGTGATGTAAATGCATGAAAAGTTAACTAATGAGTATGCAAAATGTATGTAATATGCAGTAACATCAAAGACGTTTTGAATACGATCATTGGGAATAAAAGTGACATTAAACTAGCAAGTGGTTTCTTATGGTGAAAGTTAATGCATTTTAACATGCCGTCTTGGTTTTGAAAGAAGCAGTGCGTAAGGTAAGCCAGACTAGTCTACAACAACTCCCTAATAAAATTTGTTGGATAATCTAATAGATATTAGTAGGTATCTGCTCGGGATGGATTCAAAAACAGTTTACGATCTGCACCAAACTATAACTAAATATTTTTTTATATATATACTTCTTCTATCAATAATGAAAGGAAGATAAATTCTATAGAGATAAAATCCATCTTCTAACATTTATTCAATTCATTCAGCCAAAGTTCTATCGAATTTTTTCTAGATCAACAGCCCAAACAATTTTTATACACCATGTTCTATCCATTTTTCTATTTTTCTGATCAGTCGTGTGTTTTCTTCTGATTTGAGTATCAAAAAATAATATTAATCGGAGGGACATCTTATTTCCATTATGTACATTCACGCTATTTAATCTTTACAGATTGTCTAATCTCAATCTACCAATTGACATACAGATTCACGTAAACATCCATAAATTGGTCGGAACACTTTTATATATTATATCTACTAGGTATTTACCCGCGCTATGCTGCGAGATGTTATTCTAAATTTTATATATTTTAAAAATAAAATGTTATTTTAACAGTATAAATAAATATTATATTTATTTTTTATTTAGCATAAATTTTGGATTTAGGCCCTATTTATTTCTCCATCTATATGGTTCATTTGAATAAAAATGAGAATTTTGTTTGTTTTGTAATAAAATCAAAAAATATTTAGATGAATTATCTAGATGATTTTTCAAGATTTAGATAAATTTATGAGAATTATCTGAATGAACTAAATTGGACCATCTTGATGGAGATGTTTCAGTTCAAAATGACAAATGACTAAAAGACTCTTAAATTTAAAAATAATAAAAAAACCTAAAATCATATTTTTCGAAAAAACCACAAATTATGCTTTTCTAACGAAATCTGAAAAATTGTATTTTTTTTTTCTAAACTAGTAAAATCATATTTCTGGTAAAATCGAGAAATCGCATTTTTCAACCAAAACTAAAAAAAACACATTTTACTATTATAAGTTTACTTATGATCATAAATTTCTCTACTCGCAGGTTATATTCATATTTTTAATTATGAAACTTTTAATGCATGTTTTTCTTACACTAACTAAAATAATTATTTTAACATTAATATTTCTTTAACATTAAAAAAATATTTAGTAAAAAACCACAAATGAAACAACAATTCACATTAGCTTACATATTTACTATAGCTTAAGTTTATATATTGACCAGATCGCTACCTTAGCTCTAGAAATTAAAAAAGCTACAAAATATATCGAAAGAAACCAAATAATCATGTCAAATGTTTGAAGCTCGTATTTAATTGACCTTAGATCTTATAACTTTATTTTTCTTCAGTTCTTCTTCTCTCACATATGCTAGAAACAAGTCTAGCAACTACGAAAATGGCTTCATAATGTCGCCATTCCTCCCATTCTCCAAATCATATCAGTGTTTCTTTCATCTATTGAATCATAGTCACTGGTCGAGATTTAGGCGGTTGACAACTTTTTCGATCAGATCTCTGATACCTTTACACATAATATATTTGCTTTCAAAAACTTAATACACTTTCAAATATTCATTTATAAGTATACAATAACTTGGTTAAAAAATACTCATTCTTTTGATAATTAATTAAAATTTGATGCACTCTCTCTTTGTCAAAGTATAAAAAATTATTTAATTTCAATATATAGAAAACATAATTTTTTGGATTTTTTACTTTTTCTCATATATTTGTTTTAAACATGTAAACATTAACATTATCATACCTAAACATTAGTCACACTTATATGTATATATCAAACCTTCAAACTTTACACTATATTTAGATATAGTTTTATTAATAAGTCATAGGACAGATATGATACAGGAGTAACACCCAAATACAAAAGACCAAAACATTAAAGTATTAAACGCAAGCCTAAATACAACTTAAACTACAATGGTGTTACTGTAATTGGATATCTCATTCGTCTTTAGCATTAGGGACAAAGCTTTACCACTTTAAAGTTTCAACTTTCAGAAAATTCATCAACACAATGCGATTATAGATCTTTTTCAAACTCTTTCGAGAACCACCATATCTCATGAATAGATCCATGGTTAAAAAATCCTTCTTCCCCACAAAGTTGCCATAAAGTTAAAATCTTAGAAGTGAAATCGTAAGTTTGATGAGATAACAATATTAATTGATTCATTAGAATTTTAGGTTTGTTTGCCAATAAACGTTATCAATTAGTTAAGTTAATTAGATAATTTCTAGAATAATTGAGGAAGATGGACGAAGAAGATGATGATAGGGAAAAGGAGAAAGAAGATATCGATAATATACAACGAGCTTCAGTTTGTTCTTTTTTAAAAAAATAAAAAATAAATTATAAATTATAAAACAACACATAGTACATTATTAAAAATGATGTGTTTTAATTTTTGTCATCGATGATGGTTAATTTTGCAGTTATCCCAAAATAATAATATTGGGCTTCAATTTCTATGTACTGTCCATATTGGGTCTTATTAATGAAAAATTTTGATGATAAAAAAAAAGTTATCTATATGTCAAAATATTGAGATTAAGTGTATTAATGAAATTTTTTAATTGGTTTAATATTTTGCTGATGTGTCAGCTTCTAATAACACAAAAAAGCTGAGTTGTAAACGCATGAAAAAACTTATGGATTATTGTTGTATTGATTTGGTGAATAAAGGTTTTTGAGTGAAACGTTGCAAAGCCAATCTTTTCTTTTTGAAATTTTCTGAAAATATTATCTCGGGTATATCATACAATTCGTTGGGCCTTGTTAGTTGTTAATGGTCTATGAGAGTGGAAACGGAGAATGTATTGTTGAGAGGCCCTTGAATTTAAAAGAATATTTCAAAACTGCCACTGCTTGTCTTCATTCCCTTCCTTGTCCTCTTTCTCAGAAGAATCTCCGGCTAAAACCTCCTCCTCTGGGAACCTGTTTCTCGAAGAAAATGGTTTCCGTTTCTTGCTCTTGTCCAGTTTCTAGCTTTCGAACCGTAGAACTTTGTGCTCGTATCGTCCCTCCGCTGTTTTTTGCCGGAAATCATGTACGAGTCACTTCCGGTACGCTCCGAATCGGAGAAGGTAAGCCGTATAAATTTCGAAAGCTTGTGATTTAGTTGCTTTTTAGTGGTCTATGTTCTTGATTATAAAGCATTAAGACTTTATTGCTTACCAATTGAAATGATTATTTCGTCAAAATTCTAGTTTAAACTGTTTCTGCACCAACAAATCTGAAGCAAATTCTATCATTAGAGACCAAACTATCTTATCGGGGAAAATGAGATGTAATTACTTCACTCTGTCGCTGTATTGTATGGTGTTAATTAGCTTTAATGGCTTCTGTAATCGTTAGAAAATTTGTGAAATTGTCAGGTTGTTTCCTAAACTTCAATCGTGAGAAACCACAGAGATTCGTTATTTCCGCTGTTGTGGATGAGAAAAGTGTTGCAGCACCTAAAGAGAAGAAAGACGGTTCTGAAAACGTTGTAGATAACCAGAAAATGATCAAAGTTTGTGATAAGCTCATTGAGGTTTTCATGGTTGATAAGCCCTCACCATCTGATTGGAGAAGACTGTTAGCTTTTAGCAAAGAATGGGAAAGTATCCGGCCGAATTTCTACGAAAGATGTCGAGAACGGGCTGATTCCGAGGATGATAACCCTGAGATGAAGCACAAGATTCATCGGCTTGCAAGAAAGCTTAAGGAGGTGAGAAACTTTAAAGCTGAAAAAATTGAATCTTTACTATGTAATCTATGTGATTTGGATTGTGATATCGGTCTTAATCAGGTCGATGAAGATATTCAAAGGCACAATGAGCTTCTGAACGTCATCAAGAGGACACCACCGGCTGAAATCGGTGAACTTGTTGCTAGGCGGCGTAAGGATTTCACGAACGAGTTTTTCGAGCATTTGCATACCGTTGCAGAGTCCTACTACGATAATCCGGATGAGCAGAACGGTAAGTTGTTTGGAACCCTTTGCCTGATCCCAAAGGTACAATACAATACTGATAATGATTGTTCTGTTTTCTTGGAAAGCTCTTGCATCACTTGGAAAATTGTGTATCGCGGCTGTACAAGCTTACGACACTTCAACGGAAAGCATCGATGCACTAAACGCTGCTGAATTGAAGCTACAAGACATAATCAACTCACCTTCTCTTGATGCTGCCTGCAGAAAGATTGATAGTTTGGCTGAGAAGAACCAACTTGATTCCGCTTTGGTTCTTATGATCACAAAAGCTTGGTCTGCTGCAAAAGAATCCAACATGATGAAAGATGAGGTACTAAACGGTTTTTTCTTGAATGAGCATCTTCTTTGCAATCATGGAATCTAGTATGATCCAATCCGGTCTTGTTTCTTGATAGGTGAAAGACATATTGTATCATTTGTACGTAACAGCGAGAGGGAATCTGCAGAGGCTTATGCCTAAAGAGGTGAGAATACTTAAGTATCTACTATCGATAGAGGATCCCGACGAACAGATGAGCGCTCTACAAGACGCTTTTACCCCTGGGGAGGAGCTCGAAGGGACTGATGTAGACTACTTATACACGTAAGGACGAGAAAACTATAACTGACTTATCCTATAGATATGTAAATATGATTCCTCAGGATGTGTATCGGTGTGGATACATTGTAGGACGCCTGAGCATTTGCAGGGCTTGATAAAGACGGTGTTAGAGGCGTATCATTTTAGCAGAGAAGGGAGTTTAGTGAAGGAAGCCAAGGACCTTATGCATCCTGAGCTCATTGCCAAAATGGAACAACTCAAGAAGGTTGTTGAAAAGAAGTATTTGTGATCAAGATTTTACAGATCCTAGCTTATCTCTCTTCTTTAGTTTCTATGTACGTGTGTTGTACATGGTGTTTGACATTCTTGAGGTTTCACACATATTTGATACCACCTTCAGACTTAGACTATAGATATGCTGCAGTATTTCTTGATTGTAATGTTTAGTATTTAATACTCCCTCCATTTTTTATATATGTTATTTAAGGTTTTGCACATAGATTAAGAAGTTATTTAATTTTCTTTTTTTCCAAAACAAAACATCAATTCCAAAACAATTCAATCAATAGAAAAATAATCTATAAAATAAAACAGTTACTTTTTACATTGATTTCTGAAAACATCATCTAATTATGAATAAAAGAATTATCTAAAACATCTTATAAAAAAAACGGAGAAAGTATTAACATTTGTTTTTACTTTGAAATAGAGTTTCGTAGTCACACAGCTGCAATGCACAAAGCTAGTTGCAAATTTTTTTTTTTTAATTGAAGAAACATATTCTCCGAAAACAAAGACAATTTAGAATTTCATATATACCAAAACTATAAACATTGTTGATGACAAGGAGATTATAGATTGGAGAAGTAGATGGTAAGAAAAAAAATTATAGAAGCACATGGCTTTTTGCATGCCGTAGCACCAAATTTATTTACCATATTTATTTATTTACTAAGTGATTGGTCCGTACCGTGTACGGACTATAAAATATTTTATATATTAATTATGTATTATATATTAAATATGTTTTATTTGTATATATTAATTATGTATTAATAATAACATTATATAAATATTTAATAATAAAAAATAACAATAAATCAAATGAAAAATGATTTCAACAGAAATTAAAGATAAAAGACATTAACTCAGATTTTTAAAATGCTTCATTGGATAAAAAATATATATATAATAACTAAATAAACTGAAAAGATTAAAATATATACTAATTTATTTAATTTTTATGGTTGGCATGCAGACATATGCAAGTATAATTTTTTTATAGACATAATTAGTTCTAATATTTAAGTCTTGATTAGTTTCTTATATATATATAAGCATTATTTTTTATACATATACAGTTTTAGCGTTTAACAATAATCACACAAACATTTCATATCATTTTGTGTCTTTGGAAAACTTATTATGTAATCATTACGTTTTTATACATATACAGTTTTAGTGTTTAACAACAATTGCATAAACGTTTCATATCGTTTTGTGTCTTTCAATAAATTTTTGTTTTTTTAGCGTTTATAGTAACATATAATTGCAAATGCAAAGTTATATTAAATAATAATTAAATTCTTATAATATGTTTTATCTATATTATATTTCTTTTTCCCTTTGCACAATATAATCTTGTCAATATATATATTTAAAGTATACAATTTTCATTGACATATTGCTAAGTAAACCAAAATGGGTTTTCTCATCACTACTTATCCTAAGAGCGGGTAGATGGTGGGTCTGCACATTCGTGCGTACCAACCACCTCACTGCCCTTAGGACATTATAGATTTTTTTAATAATTACAAATTGACTAATAACTAAAATTAAAATTAGAATGTAATCGAGGTTAAGAAAATTGCATGCGATTTTGTTTTTTGCAGAATTAATATTTACATCTACACACATATTTGTGAAAAAAATTGAAGTATTGCTTTTATGTGTTAAAAGAAAATAACAAAATATATATTTATAATGTATGATTGATTTTTTTTAAAAAAATATGTATATTTATGCATGTAGATATGAGTTATAAATAAGTGAATTGTAATATTTAGATGTTGGTTAGTTTTTCTGATATTTTCCGCAAACGTTGTGATTCTACACATTTCAGTTTTTTGGCGTTTATCAACAATCAAGAAAAATGTTTCTATCGTTTTGTATTTAATCAAAATTTCTTATTTTTCAGCATTTTATGAAATATAGTTTTTCAATCAAAATTATAATAAAAACTTATTCTAAATTTTTTGAATTCTTATTTTATAAAATTCTCGGTAGCTCTCCACTCACCTCTTCCTCAAAATTTTTATAGTCTGCAATCACTCGCTTCCACAAATTCTCTGTAACCGCAGCGTTTAAACCAGCCGGATCCTTAAGAGTTCTTATGTTCCTAACTTTGATATATGTGTTAAATCTTATATATAATAGATCATAACATATACAAAACTTGATTCATGAAATAATATTTTAAGATATTAAAAAATATATGCATGATAGAATTAATATGTATAAGATAATATTTTTAAATATTTCAAAATAAAAATATAAAATTGATCAAAATTATTCATTTTTGTTCGTAATCATATTTTATGCAATCTATTATGAATATATATAAAAACAAATTGAAATCGTAATAATTATTATTTATTATTTATTTGAATTTATTATTTTTAGCGTTATAATCTAGTATATTTATCTTATCATTTAATAATTTATTTAATTATAATTCAACCAATCAAAACATTTTATTTATTTTAGTAAATTTCACTACAAGAATTTAGTGATATAGCTACCGATTATTTTGTAACTATAGGACACAATTTGTAGCTAAAACTAGGCAGGCAACGGAGAGCGACACATCAATTACGTTGCCTCAGCTCCGACGCTATCCTATATTCGTAGCTGATCTATAGCTAATTAGTGGCAGATTAGTAAGAACAATTTCTGTAGCCAATAGCAACCATGTGGCTACAACTTATTCTCTTGCCGATTAGTGACAACTTTAGCTACTAATTTTTGTGTCACTATGGGCTACAAACTTTTAACAACAATCTCCTCTAGCAGTCTGTAGCGAATGTAGCCACATATATGGTAAAAAATTATTTAATTTTCAATAATAAATCAAAATAGATAAATTGTTCTTGAACAGAAAAATTATAAAATAGATTATAACAAAGAACCTAAATCTTCAAAACGTAGTAAAAATCGCCACGTATCTATCATACAAGACAAACAAAAAATTTAAACCTGAAAAATGAGAACAAAACATAACAAAATTTCAAGCTGAAAGCTAAAGATTTCTATTGCAGATCCTGCAAGAAGTCGTTAAAGTGCGCTTCGAATCTTCAAAACTCGGTGAAATCCTCGTGATGATGTCCCCAACGATTTATGCAAATGCACTGCTCCAACATCGATGCAGCCCTGAAATTAATCGAGAATTCAAAAGAAGTGAGTGGGTCTTCAGTGAATCCAAACATAAAATACAGGGCCTCATATCTAATCAACACTCACAGTGAGTATAACAGCAGTTTCCTGAGAACAAAAAACCATAAACATCACATAAGCAGTGCATTCTTGTCACCTGACCTTATCTCATTCACAAAATAACAAAGACTTCATATTCTGAATCCAGTAAATTTAGAAAAATGTAATTTGGAATATGGAAGTAAGACTCACTTGAAAAGGCGAGAAGATAACCAACTTATAAGTGACCATAATATCCCCTGCAGCATTGAACGAAAAACCAAAAAAACAAGAAAGATAGATTATGAACCTCTTCAAACACTTGCAGTTCTCCAATTTTGCAGGCAATAAACAACACAAAAGAAACCCAATTGTTATATAATTCAAAACTGAACCAAAAGACGCATGTTTATTGGAAATCTAATCTAACGACATAGAAGATGATGATATTTGGTGAGATTAAAACTCAAGCGCTGAGCAAAAGAAACCTAGCCACATATAAAGAATCTGCCGGAAAAAAAAGAAGATCAAAATTGGTACCTGAAACTAAGTTAATGAACTTCTCTTCTTGAAATGAGATCTGAAATCAAAATTTAGAAACTCAAAATAAAATAAAATCCAAAAATTCAATAAAAATTGAACGGAAGATATTGCTGAGGAACACCTGAAGTTTGGTGTATTTGTTGTAGAGCTTGACGTAGAGAGCTTTCATCTGCAACTGAAGAATTAAGAGATTGATATAGACCCAAGGAAGAAGCAAAATCGAAGGAATCAGAAGACAAAAGAAATGTAAACAATTCGATTCGAGAGAGCAGCGACACACGCTTTGTTTCCCCATACGGAAAAGGGTTGCAGATTATGAGGGACAAAACTAAAGTAACCTTCTTGCTCACTTCATATTTGTCTACCTTGATGTCCATTCACTCGGCCGCTTCATTCCCAATTTTGACACCGGTGAAGCTAGAGGAGCAGGCGGCGGATCTTCTTCCTTCTTCTTCCTCTTCTTCTCTAGCGAAAGTCTTGACTTTAACGTCGTCGCTTGAAGATGCCGCTGGTGGAGCTTCCAAAGGGTTGCGCTTCTTGTCATTAGGAATTTCAAAGTGGGAAATTTGGAATCTTCAAGAGAGAGAAGGGAGGGAGAAGAGTATGGAGGAGAACGATTTAGGTTAACTCAAAAAGGGATCTAAAGAATTCACGGGCAAATAAAAAATTTGGTTAAAATTTTGGCGGAAAATGAAATATTTGGCTGTAAAATTTTCGGGAACTTTCCAAAATTTGGGCACATGTTTAAAAAAAAAAGGTAATAACTATGAAAAAACTAAAAGAAAATATGATACGAATATTTAAAAGATGCAAACTTGATGATTAAAATCTAAACTATATATAACCAATTGCTTTAAATCAACTAATTTAACTCTTACAAATATATTTTATTTTATTTAACAAATTTGAGTTTTTCAAACTGAATAGAAAAACAATTGTCTGCTTTATCATAGTGATCTTTTGAAATAATTTTTCTAACGATTGTTAAATCGTCCCACTCTATTTCATTCTCGGCTTCAGCATCAACTCTATTTTATTTTCATTTCCGGCATATATCAATAATGATAGAAATGTGTTTTGTGTTTCTTTTCCAATGATTCGATCAACCCATGCCTATCTAAATATTATTGTTTTAAGATTGACAACATTATGATATTCAATCATTCAAAAAAAAACAAAAAATAGAACTCTAATCCACCCAAATACAAACTCCGTAATATCCCGTTTTCTTATGTTGTTTATGATTATTTGTGTGAAATTTTTACTTCCTAAAAAACATCAGCCATAATATATAATGCAGCTTTGGCTCTTAGACAAACTCAAATAATCATAAAAGGTATAGTTATATCTAGTTAATATATTAGCATAAAAAAACTTAGCAAAGTCAACATTGTACATCTTTGATATGTGGTGAGGGATTGGTGAAGGCTTATTGTTGTTTTTATTTAGCAACAAAAATATTTGTAGTCATATATTGTTAGTTAAAGAAATTTTTTGGCGACAGCTCATCCTTAGCCAATTTGTAACTATCTAGCT